AAAAAATGGAGTTGATTCCCCTACAAGTATCTGTGTCCACTACAAATGTGTCAGCTTGGGTGCTTCCTGAATTCTTCCCTGAGAAGTGAGATGAGAAGATAAATCTGTATATGTGGGGTGTGAATCACAAGGTCCATGGTGGTGAGTACTGTTCATTGGTCCAGGTCCACTGTAGTCCATATTGGAGGAAGAATGAGACAGATGAGTTAGACCAAACATGGAGGGCCCTGAATTAGTCATGGATTCCACATAATTGCCCCCTACATAAACGGGGCTTCCCTGTACATGAGGATTGCCATAACCACCGCTGCCTTGGAGTGGATGTGTGTCATATTCTGGGGTAACAGCCGCAGTCCCCGTGTATCTTTTCTGATGAGGAGGGCAGCTGTTATGGGGGCTGGGGTAGGGAGCAGGCACACCATAAGCGTTTGGATGGGGTTTGTTAAATGATGGGGGGGACTGAGGCTCATAAGGGACACTGTTAACCATAGAATGCATAGAGTTTAGATATCCCCCAACGGTTGGCGGTGGTACAGGGCTCCTACACGGTGATGGACCACCCGATGAAGTCATCATGGATTTCCCTTTCTGATCCTTTTTGTATTTCATACGTCGGTTCTGGAACCAAATCTTGATTTGCCTCTCTGTGAGGTTGAGCAGGTTTGCCATCTCCACCCTTCTGGGTCTGCACAGGTATCTGTTAAAATGAAACTCCTTTTCCAGTTCAACAAGCTGGGCACTTGTGTAAGCGGTGCGGGCCCTTTTTGAAGAGGATTGCCCCGGAGGGCTCTTGTCTCCAGCACAGCTCTCACCTGCAAAAGCACCACACAGTTAACATACACATAAACAAAGATTGCAGCAGCTGTGATATACTGATATCTTATAGAACTTCAAGCCCTAGACACCATGATCAGAATGCTCCTAAATAACACAGCTGTGCCTTATTTAATAAAGTGACGCAACGATGTGCAGTAACCCATAGCAACCAGCTGTATGTCAGCACACAGCGAAACACTGGTACCTGAATGGTTGCTATGGGCACATCATTGCACACACTATGGGTGATTGTTTCAGAAACCAGGACAAACACATTATAGTTGTTGCCCATAGCAACCAGCAGTGTAAGTTTAAAAAAAAACAAGTCTCACTGGCCCAATGGGTTATAAATCTTTCCTTTCTATATTTTCTTTCAATAAATACATCTTTTTGTTATTAAACAAGCTCTTAAAAATGTAACTGACCAAAATAAAAGAAGGATAAAAAATAATTGTATCCAAGAGTACATTTTATTGTTTAAGTTTCACCTGCCTCCACACTTCCACTGTATGAGCACTAAAACACATATTCTAACAACAAAGCAACAACAATATTATTAATAACAATAATAATAATAATAACATTATTATAATTATTAATAATAATACTAACAATAATAATCATAATTATTATTATTATTATTAGTAGTAGTAGTAGTAGTAGTAGTAGTAGTAGTAGTATTATTATTAATATTTTTATTGCAGTAAATCGATCACGGTTTAATAGAGTGCAAAATATATTACTATAGACCATAGCACACATCAGTTAACTATATGTAGCCACATCTAAGCTACCTATTTGCAGAGCTAGCCGCCATGTTTCTATAGTAGTAAAGGGCCACATGTTATTAGCTGCTTGTCAGAAAGATGGCTTCTCTCCCCTTTCCCTTCCCACTATTATGTAGCAGGGCAAACCGACAAGCCAGATGGTAGTGATAATAGTGCTAGCCTGCCAAGTTGGTTTGACGTTGTGGTTTCACAGGCACAACATGATGCATAGTAAACACTGTGAATCACAGTCACAGTGTAGCACAATACCCTAAAGAAGCAATGTCTACCAAAACAACAGTCTATGTCTGTGTGCTACTGTAGTTGTAATCATATTTATTAAGTTTCATTCTTCAACCTAAACCTCCATATGCCAAGAGCTATTTCGATATTGAAGCACAGCAAGGAAACGGTTACCCCCCTCCTTTTACACTGTCTCAGCCTGGAGTCTGTGAACTATTACCATATTATTATTGGATGCGATGTATTTGTCGCCTTATCATTCAGGAGAAGGCACCAAATACGAAACGTTGTGTTTATTTCACAATGCACTGTTTTTTTGTGTGTGTTTTTTTAATAACCACGCATGCGCCTCAGGTTGATGGTAGAAGGAGGGGTAATGAGGGAGTGTGAGTGAGGAGAGAGGAGGGGGAGAGAGAAAGAGAGAGAGAGACTTCACACCATACATTGTTAGATTGGGGCTTGGTCTACTAAACACCAATTTTAGAATACTTACTGAGGACCTCTGCAGTATTACATGTCACCAAAGACTTGTCATATACAGTTTTCTAGAATCTAATCATGAAATGAACTGAACTGTCACACCATCATCTTAGATGAGCTTTCAATATATCTCAGCATTGCTATGCCATGATATCAGATGAAATCTAATTACTTCAAATAATTGCATAAAAAATTAATTGTCATTACCACAGCTGGTATATGTCTGACAGTCTGTTGTCTGTATTTCAGTTCTGGCCACCTAATTCACAGAAAGCAATTACATGCAGTAATGAAGGGTTTTACCTGAACTTTATTTCCCTACAGTCTCCCTTAATATTTTTAGTGTTCTCCATTTAGATTAATCCTTTGCCCTATAACAAGGCATCCAGCTAACCTGACTGGTGAGCCTAAGCAGGTATTTGCAATCAAAATACTTTGATTTGCAATCAAGAGGTATTATTATTATTATTATTAGTAGTAGTAGTAGTAGTAGTAGTAGTAGTAGTAGTAGTAGTAGTAGTATTATTCTAATCTTCAATAATCAAACTATTAAAAATAGTAACAATAGTTACAGCACCTGCCAATGCACACCATGTATGTTCTCATGCAATGTATCTTGAATAACACACTGTGAAATACATTTATTATAATTAATGTCTTTAAAATGTCATCAACTGTTGACTGAAAACATCAACATTGCAGAAAATAATGTTTCACTAAATGTATTTAAAAAAAAAAACAAAACATTAGAATAAAACAAAAAATAAACCCACAAATAATTTACAATTATTTTCTATATGTAATAAAGTAGCAAAACTCTTGTTATGGTTTGCTCAATATTAAAACTAAAGTGTATGTTCTGAGGGG